ATTCTTGGCAGGTTAGGCCCTACTGTCCATTAATGTCCTTCCCAACTGCTCAAGGAATATCCTTCTCTTGAAAAGTATTCCTTCTCTTGAACTCTCCAAATTTGTACGGTGTTGTGCAATTTTAATATATTTATTTCCCAATCTGATATTATTCGGATATTGTTTATGAACACACCCAACTGGCCGAGTGAACAACAAATGAAAGTGTGAATCAAGCTCAAATCATGGTTGAACAGATAATCCTGCACATACAGTGGGGCCAAAAAGTATTTAGTCAGCCACTGATTGTGCAAGTTCTCCTACCTAGAATAAAGAGAGAGGTTTGTAATTTTCATCACAGGCACACTTCAAATATCAGACGAAATGAGAAAGAAAAAAAAAATCACATTTTAGGATTTTTAAAGAATTTATTTGTATATCATGGAGGAAAATAAATATTTCTTCACACACAAACCAGTAGACTTCTGTATCTTACAGACCTGTAGCTACTTTTTTAGAAGCTCTTCTGTCCTCCACTTGTTACCTGCATTATTGGCACCTGTTTGAACCTGTTATCTGTATAAAAGACACCTGTCCACAGCCTCAAACAGTCACACTCCAAACTCAACCATGGCCAAGACAGAAGAGCTTTTTAAGGACACCAGGAAGAAAATTGTAGACCCGCACCAGGCTGCGAAGAGTGAATCTGCAATAGGCAAGCTCGGTGTGAAAAAAATCAACTGTGGGAGCTATTGTAAGAAAATGGAAGACATACCTGACCACTAATAATGTCCATCGATCTAGGGTTCCACGCAAGATCTCATCCTGTGGGGTCGAAATGATCATGAGAGCGAAAAATTCCAGAACTACAGGGAGGGACCTGATGAATGACCTGCAGAGAGCTGGGAACAAAATAACAAAGGTTACCATAAGTAAAACACTAGACCGAAAGGGACTCAAATCCTGCAGTGCCAGACGTGTCCCCCTGCTCACGCCAGTTCATCTCCAGGCCTGCCTGAAGTTTGCCAGAGAGGATATAGATGATCCAGAAGAGGATTGGGAGAATATCATGTGGTCAGATGAAAAAAAAATAGAACTTTTTGGTAAAAACCCAACTCGTTGTGTTTGGGGGGAGAAGAATGTAGAGTTGCATTCCAAGAACACCATGACTACTGTGAAGCATTGGGAAGGAAACATCATGCTTTGGGGCTGTTTTTATGCAAAGGGAAAGGGAAAACTGATCCATGTTGTAGGGAGAAGGAATATGGCCATGTATGGTGAGATGTTAAGCCAAAACCTCCTTCCATCAGTGAGAGCCTTGAAGATTAAACATGGCTGGATCTTCCAGCATGACAATGATCCCAAACACCGCCAGGGCAACAAAGGATTGGCTCCGTTAAAAAGCATTTCAAGGTCCTGGAGTGGCATAGCCAGTCTTCAGACCTTGACCCCATAGAAAATTTGTGGAGGGAGTTGAAAATCCATGTTGCCCAGTGACGTCCCCAAAACAAAACTGCTATAAAGGAGATCTGCATGCAGGAATGGGCCAAAATACCAGCTACGATGTGTGCTACCCCAGTGAAGACTTACAGGAAATATTTGACCTCTGTCATTGCCAACAACGGTTATGTTACAAAGTATTGAGTGGAACTTTAGTTACTGACCAAATAATTATATTCCGCCATAATTTACAAATCTCATCTAAAAATCTTACAATGTGATTTCCTGGATTTATTTTTCTCATTTTGTCTCTTATAGTTGAAGTGTACATGTGAAAATTACAGACCTCTCTCATTATTCTAAGTAGGAGAACTTGCACAATCAGTGGCTGACTAAATACTTTTTTGGCACCACTGTAAATGGAATAAATTCTACACAACTTTTGTTCAGAATCTAAGAATTTATTAACAAATATCATTCAGCTCTAAGTCACATATTTCAGTTAAAAACTCTTGACTAAAAGCTCATGAAACTTGACTCCTGTGTACAAAGAGGAAGAGAAAACATTGTTGAAAACCATATCATCAGCATTGTGGAGCAGAACTGCACCCTCTACTACAATAAACATGTTAGGATGACACATAGAAATTGGTTCTCAATGTACAAAATTATTATTGCTTATGGCCCAACAGTTGGCTGGTGTGATAAACAGGAGAAAGGTGGATGAAATGTCCTGGACATGAGCAGCTGAATACCTTGTTTGCCCTGGAATCACCCAAATGATGTTTGATGCTGCTATTGCTGGCTAAATTTGATGAGGACCGCGGAACTTTGCAGTTCTTTGATGCAGAATGTTTCTCCGTCAGCTTCAGGGCTTTTCTCTTCTTGTTCTTTATCTGAAGATGGATCATCTTCTGGGTTGCATTCCACCCTATCTTCCTCTTCAGCTACATCTTCATTATCTAAGTCCTCCTGTTAAATATCTCCTACATGAAAGAAAGCTTGAAGGTGTAAGCACTAAAGTTTTCCATTACAATCTGATGGACAGTGAAGCATCAATCAGTATGGCAAGCCGTTTTATCATAAAAATAGCTTCACCAAACATTCAAGATACCCGAATCGTTTTTTTACTAGACATAATAGTTAAGAAATCTGTATTCATATTTAGACTAGGCCAAATACTACTTTCAGACATCTCTAATTCAATTCCAACTAGACTAAATGACTTCAGATTTACCATTCATCTGTATGGGGTCTCCAGTTTAAACTATCAGCAAAACATTACTATCTGAAAAGGGATATTTCAGATAACAATTGAATTATGATTAGTCATAAATTAGATTAGAGAAATCCATATATTCTGACTGGCCATAAATCAAATTAAAAATCACAAGGATATTCAAGATAAACTTTCACTTTTGACCACAAGCCCTAACCACTTGATCACTATATAGAGCTTGGACTATATAGTGCCCTGTATAGTGATTAGGGTAGATGCTCGGACACGGCCCAAATATGCTCTGATGCATGCTCGGTAAAGAGGGAGGGAAAAGAATAACATCAGGGGGACATTGTGCATTCTTGGTCTTCTGTTATGAATTCGAACAGTGCTTGGGCTGATGACGTTTCACAAACACACACAAGTACACATATTGATAAACGCCATTATTCAATGTTGCGTATTCCAACAAAGGACAGGGCAAACAATAGCAGATCAACTAAATGGCTAAATCACACATCTAACCACTGCAGTACAGGATAACCATGTTTTATGGGGTTACTTGTCATTGTTTTAGCATTATCTACTCATATATGTTTGAGTTTTCTAGGCTTAGTTGGAAGGATATAAGGCTGTGTTTTAATTATATGAAGCTTTACGCTCATTTCTTTCGGCATTGCCCCTAACACAACCTGAGGTTTCCTATTAGTGGCCAGTAAGGGAAAATGTGTTCTATGTTAAACAAAATTGTAGTTGATGTAACGAGTTGCAGTTTTTAAAGAGCATGATCCACATAAAAGCCCATTTCCCTTGGTCCCTGTATGACTAATTTACAATAACTGCCAGGCTCGCCTGTAGAATCTATTCAATTCAGTTTATTTAAGATGATCCAAAATGCTTTCCATAGCCAGAGTTCTGATGAAAATTAAAAAGAGAGATCATATCTCTCCTATCTAGTTTCTCTTCATTGGCATCCTGTTAAATCCAGAATAGAATTTAAAATCTTCCTTCTCACATATAAAGCCTTAAATGGCCAAGCTCCATCTTATAGAGATCTGATTGTTCCTCATGTCCCTAACAGAGCACTTCACTCTCAAATCTGCAGGATTACTAGTGGTTCCTAGAATTTCTAAAAGTAGAATGGGAGGCAGATCTGTTATCAGGCTCCTCCTGTTGAACAAACTACCAGTTTTAGTCCATGAGGCAGACACCCTGTCTACTTTTAAGCGTAGACGTAAAACTTTCCTTTTTGATAAAGCTTTTAGAGGGCCAAGGTTATCCTGAGCCATCTGTATAGTTATGCTATAGGCTTAGACTTCTGGACATGGGGACCCCTATTTCATCATTCCATCTATTCACACTCTGCAGAATTTGTTAGTTGAATCTCTCATATGCCCCTTTCTCAGAGTAGCTTTGCCTCATCTGTTCCTGTTTGGCTGTGACATCACCCTGGAGAGAATTAGCTGTGCTGCCACCATCAACTTTTTTTTTTAATAGATGTTCAAGATCATTTTTCTGTTAAATTCCATTTCTCTGGCTGACTGGATGTGCTCTCTTCATCCTCTGACATGGGAGCTGGCTCAGAGCTCGTCTTCCTGGACGGTATCCCCTTTTACATTTGCTTTTTGAATCTCTGCTTCTGTCTCCTTGAACCCCAGTCAGCCTCTGAAGCTGGAGCTTTCCCTCTGTCACTACAACCATGCTTAATGTGAGGAATTGCATTCAAGTCACTGCAATCAACTGGTTTTCCTTAGACTGAAAGCTAAACCCATTTGACTGCATGATATGGTGAACTGTAAAGTGCCTTGAGAATTGGCACTATAAACTGAATTGAGAATCTAAAAACCAAATCTCACACCTAATCCAGATAGTCCTATTGGGTGTCATGTTGCAATAAACATTCCAATTATGCGCCAGCAGTTCAACTTTATTTTCTGCAGCTGTATTTTTGAGTGATTCAGCACTCAAGGACCAACAAGATACAGGACCTTGATGGAAAGAAAGGTGTGGATCATCATTGCCAGCACAACCATCATGGTATTACAGTGCAGTTTAGCAAGAAATACAGGGGCACTTGTTGCAACTAAACATTTAGTTTTCAGTGGGTCAAGTTGGTTTAGCCTTGTTCCTTTAGATGCATTCCTGTGTGCACACCATAATCTGATGCAACCACAATGAGTAATATTTGCTACCTTCAGGCATTGAAATTCATAACAGTCTGGGATTTTGAAAAATTTATTTAAAAACTGCCAAAAGATTCTCAATGCTGTTGCACTTCATCTAGGGGGAGAAAAAAGTTCTAGTTAGTTAATGCATTAATAGTTAAGAGGTTTTGCTTCTTCTAGTGTCAGCATTAACCTACCATGGCTCCATTCAGGTTTCTACTGTGTTCTTGGGAAAAACTTCTGCTGCCCAGATCCAGGATTCTGGGGGTTCTCTGGAGCATCAGGACCATGTTCCTTCAGATAATGAATGGACTGAGAGTAGTCTCTGCCCCTCTCATGATTTCTGCTGAAGGTAGTGTAGGTGCCAGGAGGGTACTGACCAAACAGGAGCCTATAGTCAAAAGCAGGGTAAGGAAGCCTGTAAGGAAAAGGATAAGGCAACAAGCAACCCAGGACAGGGTTTATAGGGACAGCTGGGTAGCCAGACTCCTCCGTCTCCCGCTGGTAATGGCCAAGCTCAGCTTCTTTAACGATGTTGGAAGTCTCCCCAGACTGAAGGATAGGTCTTACAGGCTGTGCAGGTGGGAGAACAGCACCAATGTCCTCAGCATCAGTGGATGCATCCTCAAAGGAAGGAGGAGCAACAACCCATTCTGCTAATGGGAGGTGGAAAGAGGAACTTCAATTATCTTCAAACATGTAAAAGATATTTATGCCACATCACTGAATCTTTTCAGACTGGTTACCTGTGGGGGGAGACTGAGCAGCTCCAGCCTGGAGAGTCAACATAATATGCTGGCATCTGGGAGCCATAATAAACAGGAGCTGCTGGGTTGTACCAAGCCATGGGGTTCACGTTGACAAAGTCAGCTGGCGTTTGCACAAAGGTAGGGTGGCTTGGAGTTTTTACTGCAGGAGCGCTGAAGGACACATGGTCAGCTTGGAGCCGCTACTCCCTGAGATGCTGCTTTGATGCCACTGCCTCCCTGGAGCTGTGGTCTTGGATCTAGACTCCAGAAAACATTTGTTAAACATCTACCTGATTTACTGCAAGTAGATCAGAATAATACTCCACCTTTGACAGGAAGACCACAGACATCCAGAATCAGCAAGACAACAAGGGAAGCCCTGAAATCAAGAAAAACAAATTAGAAACAGATTTTAAAATAAATAGACTCCAATAGTAAAGACTCATTGCCATACCCCAGGAGGATCTGAAAAGTCATCATACTGAAGACCAACAGTAAAACAATGAGGGCAGGAGGGTTTATAAATGGAACTCAGATCACTGCTACCAATCAGAGCTTAACAAGCTAACAACACACAGCTGGTGAGGAGAGACTTCCAATTGGAGACCTGGGGTCCATTTCATAAGGCTGCCGGTGGGATTTCGTAGGAGAAGACAGGTGCTTGAGTCAATTTTTAGGCAGGCCATTTACTCTCTGTTGTTCCATTTTCAGATCATTAAAAAAAAATTCTTCTCGGTCAAAATCACATTCCTAGAAATAAAAGACTCTATAAATTACATATTTGCAACTAAGAACTGCTTTTCAGATAGTAAAAAAAATGAAATTATACTAATAAGATATCTAGGAGTGTGTTTACAAATTTTAAGTGGCAGTGACATTCATTAGCTTGACTGAATATGTATTTATAACATCTAAAATATGTTTCTATCTGATGAAAACAATACAAATTACGACCTGTAACGGTAGGAATATAGAGATGTTAAATGTGTTTATAGACATCCAGAATGTTTATTTTTTGATATGTAGAATTTCATTTTGTTTGAAAAGTTCATTTTGACGACGAAAACATTTATTTCAGATATCAATTATACCTTCTCAGTCACAATAATACATATCTAAATTGCCTGCCACAGCCTGTTCTTATCATGATAACATCACAGTGGGAAACTATTGCTTAAAATGCAGCTTCCACAGATTATTCTTTGCAGGTTAGGCCCTACTTTCTTTCAATGTCCTTCCCAACTGCTCAAGGAATATCCTTCTCTTGAAAAGTATTCCTTCTCTTGAACTCTCCAAATTTTTATTTTCCAGGATGATTTTTTCCCCCCGTCGTGTTGTGCAACCTTAATATATTTATTGCCCACCCCTGTAGGGGTGGTAAATATCTAATCAATAAGATATTATTTGGACAGTCATATATTGTTTATGAATACACACCCAACTGTCTGTATGTCAGAACAACAAATGAAAGCTTGAATCGAGCTTAAATCATGGTCAAACAGATAATTCTGCACATACATGGAATAAATTCGACAACTTCAGTTCAAAATATAAGTTTACTAACAAAACTCATTCAGCTCCAAGTCAAACATATTTCAGTTAAAAACTCTTGACTAAAAACTCATAAAATTCAACTAAACTACTACATACAAAGAGGAAGGGAAAACATGGATGAAAACCATATTATCAGCATTGTGGAGCAGAACTGCACCCTCTGCTACAATAAACATGTTAAAATGACATATGGACATTGGTTCTCAATGTCCAAAATGATCATTGTTTATGGCCCAACAGTTGGCTGGTGTGCTAAACAGGAGAAAGGTGGATGAAATGTCCTGGACATGAGCAGATGAATACCTTGTTTGCCCTGGAATCACCCAAATGATGTTTGATGTTGCTGTTGCTGGCTAAATTTGACATTTTGCAGTTCTTTGACACAGAATATCTCTCCGTCAGCTTCAGGGCTTTGCTCTTCTTGTCCTTTATCTGAAGATGGATCATCTTTTGGCTTCAATTCCACCCTATCTTCCTCTTCAGTTACATCTTTATCATCTTATTCCTCCTGAAAGTATCTCATCCATGAAAGAAAGCTCGAAGGTGTAAGCACGATAGCTTTCCTTTACAATCTGATGTACAGTGAAACGTCAACCAGTATAGCAGGCCATTTTATCATAAAATTAGGTTTACCACACATTCAAGATATCTTGAATTGGTTTTTGACTAGCCATATGAGTTAATTAAAATATCTGTATTTATAGACTTAAATACTAATTTCAGATATCTATAATTCACTCTGACTTGTCTAAATGATGTCAGATTTACCATTCATTTGTATGGGGTCTCCAGTTTAAGCCATCAGCAAACAATACAATCTGAAAGGTGTATTTCAGATAACAATTGAATTATGACTAGCCATAAATTAGATTTGAGATACTTTGCTTTATGTTCTGACTGGTCATAAATCAAATTCAAGATATCTCAAATTACCTTGATATTCAGGATTTCTGGAATGTATAAAATATCTTAAAGCAGGATTTGACAAGTGGGGATTAAATTGTGGATACCTTGAAGACATTATAATGATAAGGCAAATTAAATTTATAGATATCTAGACTTGTATTTTTGATTTGTTTAAACTCCTTTGGAGATATCTTAACAGTTTGAGATATCTTGAAGATTTTTTAAAACCTATAAGAACTTTTTCAGATATCTTGAATTATCATTTTCACTCATCACAATTACGTAGAATTTACCTAGCATATTTGGTGGAAAGTTCACAAAGGCATTTTCTGGTGTTTGCTATTCAGTTCTCTGCAATATTTCCAACATGATAGTTTCTAAAATGACTTAGTGCTGCACCACGCAGTGGCTCTGTTCGAAAACCTAGGACGGATCCTCCAAGGACGCGGTCTACCTAGACTGGATCCTTCGAAGTCCTTGAAAATAAGGAGACCGGAAGAGTTTAGGCTGTAAATTCGACCAGGTCTACCCTTTGGCAGGTTTTACCGCCGTATGCTCTGTTGCTTAGCAACCGTGAACGTTGACACACAAAGCAGGAAAAGAATGAATACAGAAGTTTTCAAAACTGTTTATTTCTTTTTTATTGTGAAGTGAACAAAGACTACACTCACAAGAATCCAGAGTGGAATAAATGTTCCAACAGCCGGGAGCAGGAACAAATAAAATCAAATGTAATGATAGAAACCTTAGTCAGTTAAATAACCTGCTGCTGTCATTCTGCACATCTCTGATGTTGCTGCTATTTTCAAATATCCATTACTGTAAAAATGTCCATAGCTGCATATTGGTTATTTATTACCCAGTTTTATATTGTTAAAACACTTTACAGTATTTTATTGTTTATATTTTAACTCTTCCCTATTATGTTATTCTTATACATTTTTCTAAGGTCCACATTTGTGTGACCATTTTCAATAATCTTTCTGCTGCTGTAAATTTTCCCATTGTGGGAAAATAAAGGGATTTTCTATTCTATTCTATAAAAGGGGTAGAAAGATATAAGTAAATCTAAACAATATATTTACAAAAAATATATCTGCAAAATCTCTAATATTCAACAACAAAAAATACAAAGTTAAGCATATTGTGCAAAATAGCAATAAAAAGATAAAAATCCTATCAGATTTATAGTTCCCACACTGCAAATATATTAGTATCTGTCCCTAAATTACAGCCAAACCCATTTACACAGTAACAGATTAAAACCTTTAGATAGACCAAACATTACCGCCACATATCTGAATCAATAACCATTAAAACAACTATTTTCATTCATTTCAGACGGAACTATTCACAGAGTTGTATTATATTAAACTGAACTTCCAATTTTCACCACTGTTCGGCGGCAAGTAACCTTTCCTCTGATCACAGCTTGCTTGGTCTCGCAATGAATCCTGGGATATCCAAGAATACCGAGGATACATCGGACCCGTCCTTCAAATCGGGCAAAAAGAAGGACGCATTTCAAGGCCGCATAATGAGGACTCTTGGAATCCGACCAGACCTCGGCGCCGCGCTATGACGTAATCGGCCTTCGAATCCGGTCTTCTAAGGATGCGTCCTAGGTTTTCGAACAGAGCCAGTGATTCCATATTGCAGAAAATTGAAATTTACCAGTACCATTGATTTGTTTCACATGTTCATAAGACAAGCCATTTTTTATTTATTTTTTTTCTCAAGAGTGTTTCGTTTGGAAATTTGTAGACGGTCCCTAAAAAAACCCTGCCTTTGAGAAGAGGGCACAATAGAGAGCAACTGGCCGAAGTATTAGCTTCTGAATCGGATGCACTGTGAGATAGCTGCCACTAACTCTGTGGAGCTTGAATATCCGGCCTCAGACTAAGGCTACGTTCACACTGCAGCCTGAAGTGACCCAATTCCGATTTTTTTGCCCATATGTGACCTGTATCTGATCTTTTTATGACAGTCTGAACGACACAGATCGGATTTTTTCAAATCCGACCCAGGCCACTTGGATATGTGGTCCTGAATCCGATACGTATCTGATCTTTTCAAATGCGACCTGTGTCTGTACGGCCAGGTCGCATTCATCCGACCTACACGTCATTGATACTTGACAAATGTTACTAAACGTTACTAATCTGCGTCCTACTAAGCGGAGGCGGGAAAAACTAACAACCATGGCGGAAGATAACACAGAGAGCAGTCAATGGAGAGAAAGTGAGGTTGCTGACTTAATTCATATTTGGAAAGATAGCTCGATTCAGACCAAACTCGAAGGGTCTTACCGGAACCGGGGGAGGGTCTTTTTGATCTTCTTAAAAAGATTTCGTTCGTAATGTGCCTGCTCCTGTTGGAGAAGAACTTAAAGAACGCAATATACGCTGCGGTATTACGAGTCATGTTTACTTCCGCAAACACTGAGGACGCTTGCTACGTGTGACGTCATCGCGTCCTCGAGTGCGCATGCGGGACACTTCGGTTGGACGCATTCAGTTCACACAGTAGATCACATACAAGTCGCATATACTTGGAAGTGTGAACGGACACGCAAAAAAATCCGATTTCACAAAAAAAAAATCGGAATTGAGCATTAAGGCCTGCAGTGTGAACGTAGCCTAATTTCCTCGCTGCAATTCCCAGCATATTTCTGGAGCAGTCTTCAAGTTCACAAAGTGTTTGCTCTCTGCATATCCCATACTGCTGAGTTCTATGTTATGGCACTTTGAATCAACTTTGTCAAGAAAAGCCAGCACCATTGCCGCCCAAAATTCTGCAGGCAACTATTTGGTCAGTTTAGGGACAGCAGAAGGGGGTTATTTGGTAATTCAGATTAATCTGAATTACGTTTGAGATATCTTGATTGTAATTCCAGATGTGTGTCACTTTAAATGACGAATCAGGTTACGTCATTTGAGATTCCTCAAAATGTATTTCGACTCTCCAAAATGTAAATGTAGAGATCTTTATTTTCACTAGTCATAATTCCATATATTTTAAATTCCTCTTCAGCATAGTCAAAATTTAGTTTTTTCTTCTAGTCAAAACTTTTATATCTTAAAAGTAATTACGGAGTCAGAAGTTAATTTTATGATAAATTGGCCTGCCATACCTCACCTCATGGCTTCAGCAAGTATCAACTAGGGGTACTTTAAGTGTACCTTAATCAAAGTACAACTTTGAGATCTCTGCTAATTTTGTATTTATGTCAGATTGTGTTTGGCAACTTGTGTAATGTGGGGGGTTAGATGCAGAAAAAGTTTGAACTTTTTCTGGTCTTTAAATGCTTTTTTAGACAGAAAAAAAAAAAAAAAAAAAAAAAAAACCCATAAGACTTCTAATCTTTATACCATACTGTTGTACAGCCCACATAGATGCATACCCAGTAAAGAGAGAAAAGAATAACGTCAAGGGACTGGAACAGTCCTGGGGCTGACGACGTTTCACTAGCACGCACAAGTACACATTGAGAAACCGTTTCATGTTGTTTATTCCAACAAAAGGTGTGACAGCCCATGAAATGAATGCCTAAACCACCGCAATACAGGTTAACCATCTTTAATGGGGTTACTTGTCAGTGATTTAGTATCAATTCATACACGTTTGAGTTTTCTAGGCTTAGTTGGAAGGATAGAAGGCTGTGGTTTATTTGAAGCTTTGTGCCAATTTCCTTCTGCATTGCCTTCAACAACCTGAGTGTTCCCATGAGTGGCCAGGAAGGGATGATTTATTCTAGATTAAACTACATTGTAGTTGAGGTAACGGGTTGCAGTTTTGTAAAGATAAGCCACATAAAAGCCAAGTTGCATTGGTCCCTGTATGACTCATCTACAATAAGTACCAACATCACAGGCAGAATATAAAACAATTTGATGACTTCCTAATCCAGATAGTCCTTTTGGGTGCCATGTTGCCATAAATATCCAAATTAGACTCTAGCAATTTGATTTCAAAGCGATTTCTGCAGCTGTAAATCAGTGATTCAGCACAAGAGGGGACCTACAAGTTAGAGGACCTGGATGGAGAGAAATGTGTAGAACGTCATTGCCATCACAGCCATCCTGGATGGCTTTCAGTCCAGTTTAGATAAGCTAGCAACACAGGGGCACTTGTTACAACTAATCATTTAGTTTTCAGTGGGCTAAGTTTAGTCTTGCTCATTACATGCATTTTAAATGTGTGCACACCATAATCTGATGCAACCACAATGAGCATTATTTGCTACATTCAGACATTGAAATTCATAGAAGTCTGGGACTTGAAATGTTTATTTTAAAATTTCCAAAGGGTTCTGTCAAGACCGGTGCAATTAATCTAAGGAGAAAAAAATAAAGTTAGTGCAGTATTAGTTAAGAGGTTTTGAATCTGTGGGTTTCAGCATTAACCTACCTTGGCTCCATTCAGGTTTCTACTGTGTTCTTGGGAAAAACTTGTGCTGCCCAGATCCAGGATTCTGGGGGTTCTCTGGAGCATCAGGACCATGTTCCTTCAGATAATGAATGGACTGAGAGTAGTCTCTGCCCCTCTCATGATTTCTGCTGAAGGTAGTGTAGGTGCCAGGAGGGTACTGACCAAACAGGAGCCTATAGTCAAAAGCAGGGTAAGGAAGGCTGTAAGGAAGAGGGTAGGGAAAAGGATAAGGCAACAAGCCACCCAGGACAGGGTTTATAGGGACAGCTGGGTAGCCAGACTCCTCCGTCTCCCGCTGGTAATGGCCAAGCTCAGCTTCTTTAACGATGTTGGAAGTCTCCCCAGACTGAAGGATAGGTCCTACAGGCTGTGCAGGTGGGAGAACAGCACCAATGTCCTCAGCATCAGTTGATGAATCCTCAAAGGAAGGAGGAGCAACAACCCATTCTGCTAATAGAGGGAGGTGGAAAGAGGAACTTCAATTATCTGTAAACATGTAAAAGATATTTATGCCACATCACTGAATCTTTTCAGACTGGTTACCTGTGGGGGGAGACTGAGCAGCTCCAGCCTGTTGAGAGTCAACATAATATGCTGGCATCTGGGAGCCATAATAAACAGGAGCTGCTGGGTTGTACCAAGCCATGGGGTTGACAAAGTCAGCTGGCGTTTGCACAGAGGTAGGGTGGCTTAGAGTTTTTACTGCAGGAGCACTGAAGGACACATGGTCAGCTTGGAAAGGAGCCGCTACTCCCTGAGATGCTGCTTTGATGCCACTGCCTCCCTGGAGCTGTGGTCTTGGATCTAGACTCCAGAAAACATTTGTTAAACATCTACCTGAATTTACTTCAAGTACATCAGGCTAATACTTCACCTTTGACAGGAAGACCACAGACATCCAGAATCAGCAAGACAACAAGGGAAGCCCTGAAACCAAGAAAAAACAAATTAGAAACAGCTTTTAAAATAAATAGACTCCAATACTGAAAGACTCATTGCCATACCCCAGGAGGATCTGAAAAGTCATCATACTGAAGACCAACAGTAAAACAATGAGGGCAGGAGGGTTTATAAATGGAACTCAGATCACTGCTACCAATCAGAGCTTAACAAGCTAACAACACACAGCTGGTGAGGAGAGACTTCCAATTGGAGACCTGGGGTCCATTTCATAAGGCTGCCGGTGGGATTTCGTAGGAGAAGACAGGTGCTTGAGTCAATTTTTAGGCAGGCCATTTACTCTCTGTTGTTCCATTTTCAGATCATTAAAAAAAATTCTTCTCGGTCAAAATCACATTCCTAGAAATAAAAGATTCTATAAATTACATATTTGCAACTAAGAACTGCTTTTCAGATAGTAAAAAAATGAAATTATACTAATAAGATCTAGGAGTTTGTTTACAAATTTTAAGTGGCAGTGACATTCATTAGCTTGACTGAATATGTATTTATAACATCTAAAATATGTTTCTATCTGATGAAAACAATACAAATTACGACCTGTAACGGTAGGAATATAGAGATGTTAAATGTGTTTATAGACATCCAGAATGTTTATTTTTTAATATGTAGAATTTCATTTTGTTTGAAAAGTTCATTTTGACGACGAAAACATTTATTTCAGATATCAATTATACCTTCTCAGTCACAATAATACATATCTAAATTGCCTGCCACAGCCTGTTCTTATCATGATAACATCACAGTGGGAAACTATTGCTTAAAATGTATTGGATAATGGATTTATTTAGGTGCAGTCACCTGGCAGCAGGAGGACATGAAGTATAAAAAAGTTGTTCAAACAGGTAGGACCCGTGCATCATCTCACTGGGTCATTTTGTATGATGCCACAATAACAGATCACCGTGTTCTCACTGATATTAATTACTTATAAATACATGTTGAAGAAGTCAATGCTGCATATGTGAGGACGGATGAGTTCATGGATGTATGCGATGGATTGTGAAGTGAAACGCTAGTGCTCATGAAGATAACTGAATATGAAAGGACATCTATACGTGCTTTGAGGACCCTCTCCCTATAAATATTTTGGTCTCTGTGAATTAATGCCGTTCATTCTTTAATTGGATCCTCGTCAAAAGGAAGTTGTTTTTATTTTTAACACCGAATGTGTCTAATATATTGTGAATTATTTACAAAAACAACTTACCGTAAAAGTTCAAAAAAATCCACTGGACCTGGTTTCAAAGATTTGAAGATGTTTCGCCACCTCTCCAGGAAACTTTCTCAATTCAAATGTCTGGATCTGCAGTGAGTTTGAGTCTTTTTCCAAAAACAACTTTTTGGTTTTGGAGATAGAGGACACTCTGAGTTTACTGAAGAAAACCTGCTTCCGACCAGATTAGCTCTGGGGAGAATGTCACAGGGGTAACAGAGGCTGAGGAAACTCTCTTTGTGAAACGGAAAACTCATAGTTTGCCTGAGTTCAGGTTTTAAAAATTTAGAGTTTTCAGAAAACCTGCTGTGTGAAACGGACCCCTTGGGAGATACAGCTGCTGGCTTGGTTCTGTGCTGTAGGTCAGGGAAGATGACAAATAGTCCTTCTATATGGATAAATTTAAACGCCTTTTTAAAAGCCCCCTAAGAACCTCTACAGAGCATCCCTTCTTTCAGCAATTTTTCCACAATATTTTTTTTATATTTTATTTTGACTGAAAAGCTTTTTCTCTGGTGCACTTCTTTACCCTGTGTCATAACCACAACCAGTTCCTGATCTGTTGCTGTTATTTCACCGGTAGCTCAGAGTTTTCAACTTCAGCCGTCATCGCTCTCTTCATGTGGTGCTACTGTTTGAAAACACCTCAGTTACGTCAAGCAGCGCGGTTGAGGGTGAAGTGGTGACCGCTCACACTGAATGGAATTCACATTTGGCCGTTTCACCTGTTCAAATAGTGTAGGAGCCATAACGATAGGTTTGTATCATGTGGGGCGTAGTTGCTGTGGTGACACATATGGTGACAGATGATTGCTTAAATGGATGTGTTTACCTGCACTCTGCTGGATAGAGGGGAGTGCTTTTGTTGACCATTTGCTTTAGCATCTAAATCGGTATGTCACATCATGTATGTTACAATCTGTTGCGAGTGACTATATAAGCCACTGGACAGGATTAAAACACCAAAGCGTATTTCTGGATTCCGTGCGCATTTCTGATCAAGACGGCAGCACGTCATACACATACAGGACCATATCTCTACCTCTCAAGTCACAAGGATTGCTATGGAGTCGCTACAAACACCTTCCTTATTCTTTCTGCTGTTTTGCATAGCTTTGTACTTTAAGACATGCTAGTTATTTTGCTGTAAGTTTTATGGAAACTAACGGTTTTACGGAAGTTTTGGGGAAAATAAAGATACCTACTATGAAATCTTAAAACAACATACTTCCCCAGTTCAAATCAATAAATGCAGGCCTGACAAGAAGCTGTGAAACCTAAACATTACAATTTCAGCTTCTCCTATTGGAAGTCTCTCTTCACCAGCTGTGTGTTGTTAGCTTGTTAAGCTCTGATTGGTAGCAGTGATCTGAGTTCCATTTATAAACCCTCCTGCCCTCATTGTTTTACTGTTGGTCTTCAGTATGATGACTTTTCAGATCCTCCTGGGGTATGGCAATGAGTCTTTAGGATTTGAGTCCATCTATTTTAAAATCTGTTTTTAATTCATCTTTCTTGGTTTCAGGGCTTCCCTTGTTGTCTTGCTGATTCTGGATGTCTGTGGTCTTCCTGTCAAAGGTGAAGTATTATTCTGATGTACTTGCAGTAAATGCAGGTAGATGTTTAACAAATGTTTTCTGGAGTCTAGATCCAAGACCACAGTTCCAGGGAGGCAGTGGCATCAAAGCAGCATCTCAGGGAGTAGCGGCTCCTTTCCAAGCTGACCATGTGTCCTTCAGCGCTCCTGCAGTAAAAACTCCAAGCCACCCTACCTTTGTGCAAACGCCAGCTGACTTTGTCAATGTGAACCCCATGGCTTGGTACAACCCAGCAGCTCCTGTTTATTATGGCTCCCAGATGCCAGCATATTATGTTGACTCTCAACAGGCTGGAGCTGCTCAGTCTCCCCCCACAGGTAACTAGTTTCAAATGATTCAGTGATATGACAAATATCTTTTACATGTTTGAAGATAATTGACGTTCCCTTTTCCATCTCCCTCTGTTAACAGAATGGGTTGTTGCTCCTCCTTCCTTTGAGGATTCATCAACTGATGCTGAGGACATTGGTGCTGTTCTCCCACCTGCACAGCCTGTAGGACCTATCCTTCAGTCTGGGGAGACTTCCAACATCGTTAAAGAAGCTGAGCTTGGCCATTACCAGCGGGAGACGGAGGAGTCTGGCTACCCAGCTGTCCCTATAAACCCTGTCCTGGGTGGCTTGTTGCCTTATCCTTTTCCCTACCCTTTTCCTTACAGGCTTCCTTACCCTGCTTTTGACTATAGGCTCCTGTTTGGTCAGTACCCTCCTGGCACCTACTCTACCTTCAGCAGAAATCATGAGAGGGGCAGAGACTACTCTCAGTCCATTCATTATCTGAAGGAACATGGTCCTGATGCTCCAGAGAACCCCCAGAATCCTGGACTTGGGCAACAGAAGTTCTTCCAAAGAACAGGGTAGAAACCTGAATGGCACCAAGGTAGATCAATACTGACACTAGAAGATGAAGAACATCTTGGCTAATACTGCATTAACTTTTGTTTTTTTTTTTCTCCCCCTAGATGAAGTGCACTAATATTGATGGTCATTTGGCAGTTTTAAAATAAACTTTCAAAATCCCAGACTGTTATGAATTTCAATGCCTGATTGTTGCAAATATTGCTCATTTGTGGTTTCATCAGATTATGGTGTGCACAGTTACAGGAATGCATGTAAAAGAGCAAAGCTAAACCAAAATGCCCCACTGAAAACTAACTTGCATTCTGTTAACTGACAGTATCTACCCCACTACATCCATTTAATGTGTATACCTCTCTGGGCATCAGGAGGACCACTTTTCCAATTTCACCATCACAATGAGGACCAGTTAAGTGAGGACCTTTTGCTGGTCCTCAGAAGGTATTTAACTAATAGTTTGGGCATAGGAAATGTCTAGGAGTAACCCACCATATTAAAATATCAATGGTTACATCTGGTAACGTCCAACTTTTCACAGGATCTGCTGGCTACGTTCAATGAATGCAAAAGTTAATTTGGTTTCAGCAACTAGGGAAATTAAATTCCCTGTCAGTAAAGCTCCTATATTGGCTGGGGGGGGAGCTGTATATTGTTACATGGAAGGGTAACTAAAGGCATCCCTTCAAAATACAGCTGCAGAAAACTCTTTAAAATCCTAGAGCGTGGATTAGATGCCAAGAAATATATTAGTGTAATTAAACGATTTTAGAAGTGGTGCATCTAAAATGTAGCAATGTATTAAATCTACAGGCTGACACTGTAGACTAATGAAGTATGAATCATACAGGGACCCTCATTGCTTGGCTTTCACATTTTTAATTATATGGATCACAATCTTTTTAACTGCTATTAGCTGTAATTTCAACTATTGTATCTGACGCAGATTAAAATAAAATTTGCCTTTACTGTCCCCTAATGGGGAAATAAGGTGTATTAAAAGCAAAGCAATAAATGAGCTTAAAGGTTCACAAATCAAACCACAGAAGTAACCAAACTACAAAATGTAAGAATTAAACAGCAAAACAAGGAATCGCAAATGTTTAAAGGGTTTTATATTAAGGGGAACCAAACCTAGAGGAAAATTATTTTGAACATGTTTATCAAGGTACACTTGGATTAAATGACAGGTGCAGCAGCATAGTGTGGCTTCAAAATTAACCCTTGTTGAAACATCACAATTTGGTATACAACATAAAAAAATCTCTGAGATTGAATTGAGCCTGGAAAACCCAAACATGAGTAGATGAGGCTGAAACAATGACAACTAATCCCATGAAAGAGGATTGTGAAGTCCTTGGTTAAAAGTTAAAAGTAGTTAGCTGTGTGCGTCCGTCATTACATGAATTGAGACTAGAGCCTTTTTCAGAAAAAAGTACACTACAAAAA